AAAAAAAAAAAAAAAAAAAAAAAAAAAAAAAAAAAAAAAAAAGGAGGAGGAATATTTATGAAGTTTTTGTAAAAGATTAAGATATAATTGAAATTTTCTTTTATGGAAAGAATTAAGTGTTTATTCAGATAAATTAGAAAGGTTAAGAATATATTTTTTATAATTTAGCAAAAAAAAAAAAAAAAAAAATTAAAAGTTAAAGTCTAAAGAATCGGTGTACTTAGTTAAGATTCTCGATTAGAAGAAGAAAGAGATATGGTTTCCTATTATTATGGTTTGGGAGTTACCGTTTCAAACGGGTGCTTAATACCACCACACCAGGCGGCAGCAGCAGCAGCATCGGCCCAGCAACAAGTTCTGATAGCGATACGACATTTGAGAGAGAGGCTCTCTGCCCACTGCCTCTGCGCCAACCATCCCCTCTTTTCTCCCTCCTCTCCCTCCTCAATCATAGAATTTGAGCCTTCCCATGTGCACCACCACCACCACCCCCTTTCATCTTTAATTCTCAATTCTTCCTTCAGACAAACCTTGCTCTCTCTTCAAAACTCCGACACGATATAGTAATTCTTTGGGGACTTTTATCGAACAGGTCGTGGGCTCGCCATGAAACTGGAGGGCGGTAGAAGGTTGGAGCGGATGAATGCGTACGGTAAAAAGCAATGCTTGAATTTGTTCTGGAGGGTGAGGGCGGCTTTAAAGAAGGCTATCAAGAATGGAAGCAACCGACAACTCAAACTCAAGTTTCAGTATGATCCCAGTAGCTATGCTCTTAATTTTGACGATGGCCTCACCAAATATGAACTTCAGCACTGTGCCAATGTTTACAATTCCGCCATGCGGGCTTATGTTCTTTGGGGGAAATCTGAGTCATGACTGAACATATTTATTTCCTTAATTCTCATTATTGTAGTTTTTACACTGCCGGCTTGGCCTGCTTTTCATTTCACTGCCTAAATGGAAAGGATTTTGGTTGTAGTTCTACCCGTATCTTTCTTTCCTTTTCTAATTCATCAATTCAAAGAGATTTAAATCATCGTTTATAGACAGAGACTAAGCAACTTTTTGAACGACATAGCTCAAATGGGAGGATCTTCAAGCATTGCTGTGGATAAATCATTTATGCGAGGATAAGCTGCTTTCTCATCGAGTTGGTCCTGTGCCCACAATAACATCTTCAACAAGTTTGGCAGTTTCGGATCTGCAGAACGAGACCAAACGATAACTACGACACACCAACTCATAATATGTTAGCATAACTAGGAAATATATAGTTGAAATTAAATGACTGTTCTCGACTTCGATAGACGGGGAGGAGAAGGGTGTTGGTGAGGAGACAAGGGTGTAGAAACCTTCGAAGAGGACAATATTAAACCCTTGAGGGGAGCCCTCAAGCGAACGCGCAAAGAGGACAATATTAAACCCTTGAGGGGAGCCCTCAAGCGAACGCCCAAAGAGGACAATATTAAACCCTAGAGGGGAGCCCTCAAGCGAACGCCCAAAGAGGACAATATTAAACCCTTGAGGGGAGCCCTCAAGCGAACGCCCAAAGAGGACAATATTAAACACTTGAGGGGGAGCCCTCAAGCGAACGCCCAAAGAGGACAATATTAAACCCTTGAGGGGAGCCCTCAAGCGAACGCCCAAAGAGGACAATATTAAACCCTTGAGGGGAGCCCTCAAGCGAACGCCCAAAGAGGACAATATTAAACCTTCAAGGGAAAGCCCAAAGAGGACAATATATGCTAGCGGGGGTTCCCCTCAAGGGAAAGCCCAAAGAGGGCAATATCTGCTAGAGGGGAACCCCAAAGAAGACAATATCTGCCAGCGGGGTTCCTCTAAAGTGAAAGCTCAAAGAGGACAATATCTGCTAGAGGGGAACCCCAAGGAGGACAATATCTGCCAGCGGGGTTCCTCTAAAGTGAAAGCTCAAAGAGGACAATATCTGCTAGCAATGGGCTGGGGCGACAATATCTGCTAGGGTTGGGGCTTGGGGCTGTTACAAAAAATATTGTCCTGTCTCTTCACTGTGGTTCAATTTTCATTGCCAATGTCATTGGCGAGGCAGAAATTTAGCAGAGCATGTCTTAAGGAAAAAGACTATTATTTTAAAGCGAGGTAGTTCAAATGGAGAAGGTGGGGTGGCAAGGATGTTAACCTTTTTCATGACTTTGACTTGTTAAGATGGCTGCATTAACTTCATTTGCCGTCTTCAGGCGCTGAGAGATGTCCAGAAGGTCTCGCACGGGACAGTTCGAAACATCTTCAAAAGCAAGTAAAGCAACTGTCCTCTCCAGCTCTGCCAAGAAGCTTTGCTGAAAGAAGTACACGCTACACGGGTTATTTTGGAGAGCAGGCGAAGGGGAAGGGAATAAATAGTTTTAAGTGTTCATATGATATTCCAATGTCAAAGTACATTTTCTTCTCCCCATGGTGCAAGCTCCTCCTGTGCAAATTCAAGAGCTTCTTCTACTTTTCCATTACGAATTAGTTCTATCAACCTTTGCTGTTGAAGATGAAAAAACAATTGGGGATTTGTATCCAATATCTGCAAGCGAGAGTGTGTTTTAGGTGCTTAGGTAACATAACAACATAAACTGAGAAAGAACTTCAAACAATCAGTCTCCAACTACTCTCCAGCTACCATATGAAACTTGATCAGAAAAGCTGGCATGATAGCATTGAATGATATTTGGTCAGTTGTTTCTCTTACAAAAGATTATTATTCTTCATAAGATGATTGGGAATCCAATCTCCATTCTATAGATACTTATGAGAGTCAAAAGATCACTTAAGGGAGAGGAATCACACCCTCAGAAAGAAAGAGGGAAAAGAAAAGCTCATTCACAATTCCCAAATAGATGAATCAAATCTGTGTCATCCACTCATATGACCAACGGTAACAGTCCAAGCCCACCACTAACAATCGCTAGCAGAAATTGTCCTCTTTGTGCTTTTCATTCTGGTTTTCCTCTCAAACTCCGATAAGTGACTCGCACTGTTTGGTAACTAACTTTTATATTATTTGTAAGAGCTCAACCCCATTACTAGCAAATATTGTCCTCCTTGGGCTTTTCCTTTCAAGCTTCCCCTCAAGGTTTGTAAAACGCGTCTGCTTGGGAAAGGTTTCCATACCCTTATAAAAAAATGATTCGTTCTCCTCACCAATCAATGTGGGATCTCACGCTAACCGTCTAAGATCCCAAGTACACACCAGATTTTAGTTCAATGAATATGTAATAGCCCAAGCCCACCGCTAACAACCGTTAGCAGATATTGTCCTCCTTGGACTTTCTCTTCCATACTTCTCCTCAAGGTTTTAAAACGCGTCTACTATGGAGAGAGTTTAGTCTTACTCCGATCAGTGTCTCGCACCGTTCGGTGACTATCTCTCATACCATTTATAACAGCCCAAGCCTACCGCTAGAAGATATTGTCCTTTTTGGGCTTTCCCTTTCAGGCTTCCCTCGTACCGATGTGGGATCTCACACTAACCGTTTAAGATCCCAAGTACACATCAGATTTTGGTTCAATGAATATGAAAATTCCAAATGCTCGCAAGGTAGTAATTATGTGAGGAACTTTGATTGGTAGCTGGTCTAAAACATGCCAATCAGCACTCAAAGTCCCAGGTGCATAATCTTACAACTCAAGAAGCTCTTCATCATGGGAAGCCAACAGCAGTAAAATGACCCAACATTTGATTTCACTATTATTTCTTAAGATTATAATACCCATATAACCTAAGAATCAAACAAAGTTTTTAGTTCAGAAATCAAACCTCAGGATTCAAATCATTCACTTTCTCAATTGCATCCTCAACATTACCACATTGTACTGCCTTCTTAACAGCCATTCTATCTGTAATGGTTGCAAGATCTATTTCTGCTATATATTCACAAGGAGAACCAAATAATGCAAAAAATATATAGAACACCACATAATTAGCAGGAACTAAATTAGCTAAAGGATACGCTCAGCCCCAGACTCGATCCGAAATTTCTCAGCTGCGTCAACATAACCTTCAGTGACGAGGAAATTCATTACCAATTTATTCATGTCTTCTTTCCTAATCCTTACGTCGTTAAGCTTCTTCTCCCAATCTTCCCTTCTGATAACCTTCTTCCATGCGGCCTGCGTAAGTGATATAAAGCCATAACAGAATATAAAACTATCTGAACAAAGAATCTCGATTGAAACACCTCTAACTCCTTAAAATAACACTAAACTAGAATCAGTAAGTCAGTTGTTTGATTAATACCATCACTCCGCTCTCTGCAAATTGTAGAAATCACAATCCAGACAATGACGTTAGTGCACCGCCTTCAAATCCATTGTTTATACACAAACAAATCCACAAACTCACCTAGAAGAAATCTGAGATAAAAACAAAAGGATTACTGTAATCATAATCCGACGCCATCACAAACAGAAGATAAAGGAATTATCCTAAATCCTACATCTGAAGCACCCAATTTCAAGTTAGAGAACAAATATGATTAAGGAATTATACCCTAATTTTACTGAATTTTCAAGAGACGAAAGGAAGAAAAAAACAGCCGAAAACATACAATAAATCCGACAAACTCATTCTCCAGAGAAGCCAACGAGAAATTGTAATAACTTACTCTGATAAGGAATCTCAAGATTCTTTGCTGCACGCAATGGATTGCAATGCTTTCAATCGAAGTAATTAATGGCGTACCGGCGACCCCTCATCGCTGGCAGTCGGTAGTTGAAAATGTTCGAGTTAATGGATCCGGGTCTTGGGCTTACGGGTCTTATTCGGATCCTCACGAATTTTAGCTGCTGTATTTCCTACGAGAATTAAAAAAATAATTTTTTTTTCTTTTGTAATATACCATTTTATTTCCAATTTTGACGTAGATCGGATTAAAATGGTAACCACAAGCCAAGAACTCGTCAAAGCTTTTATCGTCCTTTCTACAAATAATTTGATACTCAAAACCAACAAAAATTCCCAGAAAAGTATACATTTTGTTACTAATTCCGATCACCATCTACACTTGTCCGGCATCTTCCGTTCAACCAAGAAAGAATATCATTTCGAACAATTTCAACATTCTCATCAGATTCCCCATACAACAATGAATGCATCATTCCCTCATAAATCTTGATCGTCTTGTCCTCGCTCTTCGCTTCTTCATATAAAGTCTTGCTCACATTCGGATCTGTAACAACATCCGCATTTCCATGGAGGACTATGAATGGCAGAGTCACATCCCTCAGTCTTTGACTCAAATGCTCTGTTACTCTAAGAAGCTCTACGACGGTTCCCAATCTGGGTTTTCCCCTATACCTCATCGGATTCATCTCTGCCACAATCTTCTTCTCCTCCACCTTGACGGATTTGTCCAACAGATCTGCCGTCGGAACAATCGCTAAAGTGGGCAGAAATTTCGCGACCGCCGTAAGAAATTGAGGAATCGGCCAATTGGGTTTCACGTTATCGGAGATTTTGCACATGGGTGCGACGAGAATCGCACCATCAAACCCTTTGGGATCGGCGAAATGAATCAGCAAGCAAATCGCGCCGCCCATTGACTCGCCGTAGAGGAAGGAGGGTAGACCCTGAAATTGGGGGTCTAATTTGAGGAAATTGAAGAAGGAGAGACAGTCGTGAACGACAGAGTCGACATTGGGAACGAAGGCCTTGAGGCCTTGGGATCGACCATGGCCTTCGAGGTCAAGGGCAAAGCAGGCGAAACCCTTCTGGGCGAGGAAGATGGAAGTGGCTTGAAAGGTCCAGCTGATGTTGTTGCCATAGCCATGGACCATGAAGATGAGAGCTCGAGGAGGGGTGGGAGGAAGAGGAAGCCATGAACGAGTGAAGAGCTTGAAGCCGCGAGGTGAAGTGTAGAAGGATTTGGAGGCTTTGATTCGTTGAGATGCGAAATAGTCTTCCTCGGAGGTGTTGCCCCAGTAATTGAGGAAGGATCGGCCATGGCCATGGCCCTGTTCAGATTCTTGTTCGTTCATTTCTGCGAAGGGATTTGGGTTTAGGTTCGCCATTGATGGCTTTGGACGGGAAACGGATTAGCCTCACCCGTTTTCAGGGTCAGTCTCCGTTCACGAGTCAAGCCTAAGCTGCCGTGAATAGACCGTGCAGTGAAGTAATGAACAGACAATTACAAAATATTTTAAAGAACTATTCCGGAATTGGCTATGCAAATAAAAGATTTCTAAAAAGATTCATCAACGGATGAAGAAGTCTAAATAGTTGGAAGTACAAGTACTTAAAAGTTACAAAAAAAAAGAAAAAAAAAAGGGATACTTCAACCCAATAAATTTTGTGGAGGACAGATTAAAAGATGAAAAAATGACACTGACATCGATTCAAAGTGAAATGAGTGCTAACAAAGGTACCACGTAAATTTTTCACTAACAGACAAATTTTAAAACATTTGAGGTTAAGTTCGAAAGAAAAAATCAAAAAGAACAATATCACTAGCAACAAGTTTGAGCTATTGTATCTTCTAAATGTCATTTAATCTAAGAAAATGTATCACGAAATAGTATTGAAAACGCTTTATTAAACACTTCATAGTTGAGCTAAGGTTATTCGATTGAGTTAGGGCACTCACGTGGAAAGGTATGCCTTTTTTGGCACGTTGTCGAAACTCGAAAGTGATTCATCAACCATGTTAGTGGAACAAAGACATCCAAATGGGTAGAAAAGTATTGGTTTAGAGGAGAACCAAGTGGGCCAAAGGTGTAGAAGAAAACGCAGGTTTGGCAACAATTGGTGCTGCTAACTGCTAAAGAGTCGCATCCCACGCCCATCCATTTTGCATATGCTATTACTAGTCTTCATATGACTTTTTAGTCAACAAAAGTTTCTTGGTCGCTTTTCCACTTCCATGCCCAATCCATTTAGGATAGGCTCGAATATGTTCTATTCTTTTGCATTATTATTTATCACTTAATATATAAAGTTTATTACGCCAACTTTTGACTTTCAAACTTTTGTTATATCCACTATTATTTATGTTTTTTTTATCACTTTTTACATGTACTTCTTGGGTTTTACACGTTATTCTTAAATCTTTTGTGTCTAAGAATAATGTCCGATTAACTTAAAATAATTTCAGACATTTGGGTATGTAAATATTAAGTTTGACATAAATTTATTTCGTGGAAACTGTATTAGAATCCACTTTACAAGAAAAATATATGGATAGCGAAACATTAATTAATGGTATTGGTTGGGTAAGAAGACTTTAATTTGAAAGGTGGACTAAGCTTTTATGCAAAAAGAAAGACACGACCCCACTTTAATGGGTCCATAAACTACAATACTTTTGCCCCAAAACGGTCAGACAACCACTCATATTGAAGCATTAGTGTCGCCCATTAACGGCGTGTGCGTGCCCAACCCAACCCCTGCCCTGTTGCCTACTATGCCACACCACCCAGCACCCTCTGCCTAACTTTCCCTTCATCAATGTTAGGGTAAAGAACATCTCTTTAATCTTTGCCAAATTTTCAAAGTTTACTTCCACTATCGTACAAATTCTCAATTAAATAAACCCATAAAAGGAAATGGTGGTTAAAAATTTTTAATTTTGACCCGATTAAAAAGTTCAGAAATGAAAATGAAACAATAAATATAATATGGTAAAAAATTAAGTGGAGGATTGCGTAACACTCAAAATTCTACCTTTATGAATATTAAAAACTCAATAGTTAGTTTAAGAAGTGGAGAATATAATGTTCACTAAGATATGATAGCACCAAAAAAACAAAAAAAAACCATATAATTAATACCCAATTAAGAAATAAAATGGAATCCTAACGTTATTTAAATAAATAAATGAATTCCATCTCATTATTCAACTAAAAATAAAGTTGGAATCCTCGTCACTATATCAAATAAATAGCATTTTTTTTTCCTCCCCACAATTTCATGGGTTATTAATTATCATCGGTTCGCCACAAAATTCCATCTTTCCACTTTGTAATGATGATCAGGATCTGGGCTAGTCTCCTTTTTTAATATATAATATTTTCCACCTCAACCAGCCATGTAATGCCACGTGTATCTCTTTCCTTCCTGGCTTTTCAATGGGACAAATGGTCAGTCAAACATTGTTTACAAATATGCCCTAATTGCTCCTTTCAAAACAACGACTCCTTAGTGGCTTATGCAAAATTCCTTTAAAATACTGTAATATGACCACACGCTTCTGTACTAAACTTTTCCAACTGATCTATAAAAAAAAAAAAACAATTTTTAATAGTTAGTTGATGCTTAAATCAACTAGAGCACTTTAGTCGACACGATTTAAGTGATCAACTAAGTTAATATCGAGGATAAAATAGTGACGAGCTAATTATATGTCTCGATTCGCAGCTAGGGGTCGAGGTGTTTTGCCACGTGGCAACCTTCTCTCTCTTCTTTTGGATATTTCCACGTGTCAGAGATGGGTCATTTTTAAAATCAGTGTATAGGGAGAAATGTGGTGTATAAATAGTGAAGTGGGGTGTTTCCAAACCTCCACACCTCTCTCTCTCTCTCTCTCTCTCTCTCTCAACATATTATTTGGCATTATCAATTCAAAAATGAAGCTTTCAGTAATGGCGACAGTTTTTGTGGTGTGTGCTCTGTTTATGGAGGCTGTGTTGGGATTGGGAAGAACACAATGGCGTTTACAGAAAAAACCAGTTATTACCTCCGCCGGAGAAGACGACCTCGTCACTAACTTGCCCGGCCAGCCCCTTGTCGGATTCCGCCATTTTGCCGGCTATGTCACCGTCCATGAGCCCCACGGGAGGGCATTGTTTTACTGGTTCTACGAGGCTGCGTCTCACCCTGAACAAAAACCCTTGGTTCTATGGCTCAACGGAGGTTAATTAATTATTACACAAAAATCACAATTTATTCTATGGCTCCAATTGAATGTTGTATGGTGAGGTGACAAGAGATTGTTTTCAGGTCCTGGGTGCTCCTCTGTGGGTTATGGAGCAACACAAGAGATTGGTCCATTCAAAGTGGAGAATGATGCAAATGGGGTTAAATTAAATGAGTATTCTTGGAATAAAGGTATATATAATAATTTCTTTTTATAATGTAATGTTCTTTAATTAAGAAAAAAAGGTTGCACTTTAATGATGATGCAGTGGCCAATATGCTGTTCTTGGAATCTCCTATTGGTGTTGGCTTTTCATACTCGAATACAACTAGTGATTATGACAATCTGGGCGACCAATTTACAGGTAATGAATGTAATATAAACAATTTGTAGAATTTATTGGAGGTATTGTTTGGATGAATCAAATGATTTTGTTTGGTGTTTCTTGGAACAGCGAATGATTCATATAACTTTTTGCTAAAGTGGTTCCTCAAGTTTCCATCGTACAGAAACCACACTTTTTACATTGCAGGAGAGAGCTATGCAGGTTCTAATTGTGGTTCTTTGTCTGGTTTCATGTTTGTGTTTTGTTTGCCAAAAATCATGTTACATGTCTTGAACACCAGGCAAGTATGTTCCTGAACTGGCTGAGCTCATCCACGATAGGAATAAAGATTCTTCCTTTCACATCGATTTGCATGGTGTTTTGGTATGTTCATTGTATATAATTTAATTCATTATTTTCACGAATTTATATTCCAAGTTTTTTTTTTCTTTTTTCTTTAGGGTTAGAATGGACTTTTTTTTTTTTTTTTTTTTTT